ACTTCTACCTCAAAGGGTCCCTGCATATGATCATTGCGAGAAGGGCATGATTGAAAGACAACCGGCTGAAAATCCTCAAACGCTGCCCAAACACAATTCCTTGGACTTCAACACCGCGAATTAACGTGACCGCTGCGACCTGACAATCCTAAACCGTGCCAAAGAGCAATTCCTGGGACTTCAAGGCAGCGAGTCAACGTGACTGTTACGCCCTGATCTTCGGAAGCCCTGGGAACTGCCGAAAACTGTGAAAGCCCATGCACGCAGCACGAAAGCGAAAGCCACAGTTTGAAAAGGACCCGCCCTCCACTCATGAAACTGTTGTGGATTTTGAAAACGAATGCGCGCGGCGTCAAGGAGAGAAACACGAGCTGACAAGGACCTGTCCTCCATCCTTGCAGATGCTGAAACTTACACGCTTTAAAAAGCTTTCGAGCACCACCGTCCTCCATGATTGGAGCTATTGCTTATTTCCAGTTTCGGGATCATCAGTGGTGGGGAGGTATGAACTCAGCGAAACGCCTGGCCCGCCATACCACCACGGCCAGGGGTGCGGCCAGGAGTTCTCGATGAAGACAAGGATGGAGGAGGACGAGGAGGGAGGGGAAGAGACGGAGAAAGGGAGGGTAATGAGAAGGATGGGGGAAGAGGGAGTAGGAGGAGGGAAGGAGGAGGAGGATGAGGAAGGGGGGGGAGGGAGGGAGGGAGGTAATGGCAATTGCAATGGTAATGGTGCATCGGCGAGTCCGCCGAGCCGCTACGCGGCAGGGGCAAACAACGCCTCTTCCTGCAGAAGTGTTAGAGCAGCGCGCCGTGCACGACCACGCGAACACGAACTCCGCGAGGGGGAGGACGGCCCGACCCACAAGCTGGCACGGCACAGCCGACCTCCGCCCGCAGCCGCCCCAGCGCGTTCCCAGCCCACGGCGACCTCACCCAGGATGAGGTTGACGACGGCTGCCCTGCTGAGCGGCCTCCGCCTCCGGCTCGGCTTCCGCGACATCCGGGGCCTCCGGCTCGGCTGCAAGCCGGGCCGCCTCCAGCCGACCAACCATAACTGGGGGAGCTGTGGTCCTTACCCCCCTGGGGGAAGCCTCCTGGGCAGCCGCCGCGGCCCGCGAAACGCTCAGGCGCTCCTTGCCCGCCTCCGCCGCCGCCTCTGCCGCCGCCGGCGGCGCCTCGCCTCCAGTCGGCGTGTCGGCCTTCCTCTCGCTCTTGCGCCGCCGCCCCTGCCTGCCGCCCGGCGGCCTGCACGACGGGCATGCCGGCTGCCCTGGGGCCTCTCCAGCTCCTGCTGCGTGCGCGCGACGGCCTCGTCCTCGCCCTCGCCACCGCCTGCCTCGACGACCGGGTCCACGACCGCACGGCGGCTTGATGTGGAGAGCTGCTAGCCACGGCAGGCTATGCTCATCCTCCTCCTCCTCCTCCTCCTCCTCCTCCTCCTCCTCCTACTCCCTCCTCCTCCTCCTCCTCCTCCTCCTCCTCCTCCTCCTCCTCCTCCTCGTCCTCCTCCTCCTCCTCCTCATCCTCCTCCTCCTCCTCCTCCTCCTCCTCGTCCTCCTCCTCCTCCTCCTCCTCCTCCTCCTCCTCCTCTGAACCTGCTCGGCGCCAGGTGGCCCCTAGGGTGTTTCTGCACGACGGTCGCCGCCCCGCACTCCATGCCATCCTCCGTGCGTCGCCTATCCCCTGGGGCCGCCTCATCGGTCGCCACGCAGCGAGCCAGGTCCCAGCGGCTGACAGACCTGCCGCGCCGCCCCGATCCTGCGTGCCGACCGCCGACGTCCTGCGCTCCGCAGGCCGCCTCGGCGCCGGCCCCCTTCCTCTTCACGGCCGCGAAGCCAGGAAGCTCGGCCGCCCGTCGCCGACGAGCAGGTCCAGCAGCGCCACCACAGGAAACTCCAGTGCCAGCGGCCTGCCAACTCCGCCTGCGTGATGCTCTCCTCAGACTTGCTGCGCCGCCGCGGTGCCTTGTGCCAGCGCGTCGCAGCCGACCAGCAGCTCCCGCAGCGCCGCCCCAGGGGCCCCAGCGCCAGCGCCTTCCGCCTCCGCCCTCGCGATGCCCTCCTCGGCTGCCGCTTGCTTAAGGAGCACGGCGAGGACCTCGCGACCCCGCCTCGGCCCCTCCGCCGCACTGCGCCGCTCCGCAGACAGCGAAGCCCGTGCCAGCACTCGCCCACGTGCCCATACCGTAGGAGCTCGACCACAAGAAACCGTCCACAAGAAACCCAACCCTGAGACCCCAGGACCTCCATGGATCTTTGGCGTGGGAGCGTCACGCTGTCCATAGCAAAATCATCGAAACCCAAGAGACGGGCACCCAGGAGGCGAGCAAGGTGTTTCTTGGCATGGGTCTCCACTGCACTCGCAGAGGACCACGCCGACGAGCGGCGCCGCGCCTGCCGTCCAGCACGCGCGGCCGCAGCAGGCGCACCGGGCGCCGCTGGACGGCAGCTCCCGTGCCGTCTGTGGCTCGCACCGGAGAGCCATTTCGATGCACGCGGGTGCAAGCTGGGGCGGCGGCCACCACGCGCATGCCCGCCAGCTCGAGCCCCATGCCAAGCGGCTGTGGCCTGGCCCGGAGTGGCTGCGGACTGAGGGGGGAGGGAGGAGAAGGAGGGAGGAGGGAGGGAGGGAGGGAGAGAGGGGGAGAAATGGAGGGGAGGGAGGAGGGAGGGAGGGGGAGGGAGGAGAAGGAGGGAGGAGGGAGGGAGGGAGGGAGGGAGGGAGAGGGAGGGGGAGAGATGGAGGGGAGGAGGAGAGAGGAGTCGCCATCCACGGGGCAGAGAGGGCAAGAGAGGTGGGCCCCAGCGGGCCCAGAGTGGGCAAAGAGGTGGCCGATCGACTGGTCCAACCCGTCTTCGTGCGAAGCCAACTGCCAGAACCTTGGGAAACGGATGTGATACCGGGGAAAAAAAGTCCCAATCAAAGTCTCGTCAGGGAAAAAAGGGTTATGGGGCTATTGGGCAAAAGTGCGATGGGGCTATGGGGCAAAAGGGCTGTGGAACAATAGGGCTATAGGGCCATAGGGCTATAGGACGAGAGGGCTATAGAGCCATAGGGCTATATGGCTGAAGGGCTGTAGGGCTCTGGGGCTCTGGGGCTCTGGGGCTATGGGGCTATAGGGCCATAGGGCTGTAGGGCTATGAGTATATAGGGCTATGGGGCTATGGGGCTATGGGGCTATAGGGCCATAGGGCTACAGGGCTATAGGGCTATAGGCATATAAGCTATAGGGTTATAGGGCTATAAGGCAATAGGACTATAAGGCTATAGAGTTGTAGGGCTCTAAGGCGATAGGGCGATAGGGCTATTGGGCTATTGGGCTATAGGGCTGTAGGGCTGCAAGGCTATGGGGCTATAGGGCTATAGGGCTACAGGTCTATGGGGCTATAGGGCTAGTGGGCTAGAGGGCTACAGGACTATAGGGCTATAGGGCTATGGGGCTATACGGCCATAGAGCTATAGGGCTCTAGGGCGATAGGGCTATAGGGCTAGAAGGCTATAAGGCTACAGGGCTAAAGGGCTATAGGACTATAGGGCTATTGGGTTATAGGGCTATAGGTCTAGTAGGCTAGAGGGCTATAGGACTATAGGACTATGGGGCTATTGGGCTATAGGGCTATAGGGCTATAGGGCTATAGGGCTCTGGGGCTCTGGTGCTATAGGGCTATAGGGCTATAGGGCTATAGGGCTATAGGGCTATAGGGCTATAGGGCTATGGGGCTATAGGGCTCTGGGGCTATAGGGCTATAGGGCTACAGGGCTATAGGGCTATAGGGCTATAGGGCTCTGGGGCTCTGGGGCTATAGGGCTAAAGGGCAATAGGGCTATAGGGCTATAGGGCTATGGGGCTATAGGGCTCTGGGGCTATAGGGCTATAGGGCTACAGGGCTATAGGGCTATAGGTCTATAAAACACCCGCGCACCCAGGCACCTGGGCACCCGGGCACCCAGACACCCACGCACCCGGGCACCCCGGCGGGCCGCGGAAATCGGTGGCAAACCTCAACGAACCATATGAATCCGCTAGGACCCTTACAGATGCAAACTCTGATTGGAAATAACTTCTCCCTGTCGCACCCCGAGGCCAGGTCTTAGGGCGGGCCGGGCGTTTAGCCTGAGACGTCCTCGCCACTTATGAGTTTGAAGCATAAAAATTGGCAACAGTTTCACCTTTTCAACATGTGGAAATAGGGCTATGGGGCTATAGGGCTATGGGACCATGGAGCTGTAGGGCTGTAGGGGTATATATATATATATATACACATATAAATATATATACAAATATAGGGCTAAGGGCCATATGGCTATAGGGCTAGTGGCATATAGAGCTATAGGGCTATAGGGCTATAGGGCTATAAGGCTATAAGGCTATAAGGCTATAAGGCTATAAGGCTGTAAGGCTATAGGGCTATAGGGCTCGGGGGCTATAGGGATGTAGGGCTATTGGGCTATTGGGCTATAAGGCTATAGGGCTATAGACATATAAAGCTAAACGGCTATAGGGCTATAGGGTTACAGGGGTATAAGGCTATAAGGCCATAGGGTCATAGGGCTCTAGATACGGCTATGAGGCTATAGGGCTATAGAGCTATAGGGCTAAAGGGCTACAGGGCTATAGGGCTATTGGGCTATGGGGCCATAGGACTATAATAATGTAGGGCTATAGGGCTATAGGGCTATAGGGCTATAGGGCTCGGGGGCTATAGGGCTATTGGGCGGTAGTGCTATAGGGCTGTAGGGCTCTGGGGCTCTGGGGCTATACAACTATGGGCATATAAAACTATAGAGCTATAGGGCTATAGGGCTATGGGGCTATAGGGCTATCAGGCTATAAGACTATAGGGCGATAGGGCTGCATGGATGTTGGGCCTATAGGGCTACTGGGCTATTGGGCTATAGGGCTATAGGGCTATAGAGCTAGCGGGCTACAGGGCTATAGGGCTATTGGGCTACAGGGTTACAGAGCTATAGGGCTCCAGGGCTTTAGTGCGATAGGGCTAAGAGGCTATAAGGCTATAGTGTTATAGGGCTATAGGGCTATAGGGACATAGGGCTATTTGGCTATAGGGCTATAGGGCTATAGGGCTATTGGGCTATAGGGCTATAGGGCTATGGGGCTATAGGGCTGTAGGGCTGTAGGGCTAGAGAGCTGTAGGGCTATAGGCCTATAGGGCTATAGGGCTTTAGGGCTATGGTATTATAAGGCACCCAAGCACCCGGGCACCCGGCCACCCAGCCACCCGGGCACCCGGGCACCCAGGCGGGCCGCAAAAATCGGTGACAAAGCTCACTTAACCATATGAATCCGCTAGGACCCCTACAGAGGCAAACTCTGATTTGGGATTCAAACCTCGTGCAAACCCAACTTTCGAAACCTTGGGAAACGGATATCGAGCCCTCCCGTTATCTGCAGCACTCAAAAATAATGAGTGCATTGCCCCCGAAAAAAAGAGACCACCGATGGATACCGTTAGAACCACGTCAACTTCACCAATTACATGCTTCCGCGGGGGGGGTCGGAGTAGAATGAGTAAGACGGCCCAGCAGAGACCTCAAGAGACGGCCTCTTCGGAGGCAAGAGCCCCCGCCGACGGTCCAAATCCCCGAGACAGCCCCGAGATATCCCTGAGGCGATTGGAATCCAATTGGGATCTTACTAGGTTTATGTTGTTCCCATCGCACTTAAGGACCACATCCCAGAGATAATTTCGGGCACCCAGAAAAGTATCGAAACAGTGTCGAACGAGTATCGCCTCCCAGGGCCCGACACGTGAGAACACTCCAGGTTCGGTAGTTTCTTGGTGCTCGAAATCCTGCCTGGTGATCCAAAACAGATTAGGTTGGAACATCATAATACTAGGTTTATGCTGCAACCCTCTTGGGCTCCCATTGCAATCCGATTGGAGTCCGATTGGAATCCTGTCAGGATATTGGTGGAATCCCGCACTGAGGGGTCTGGGGGCGGGATAACATTTCTAGTGGCGAGAAGCGATACTTAGTTCCGCCAAGAAGTGGCTTCGATAATCACTTCCCGCGGTCATGCATGCCTGCACCAGCTTGGCCAGCCTCGAGCCCAAGGTGAACCAAGCGCAAAGCTGGCATGTGCACGCAACCGACCTGGCTTTGCGGTCAACGAACCACACAATGCGGGTGTAATGGAAAGACTGCATAATGGATCTTCAATGCATGAATCAGATTTGATAGCATGCCTATCATGTACCGTGGCAGAATCAACTCACCTGCCATTTGCAAATGTCTCGAAACTTCCAACTTCACGCTTCCCTGGTCCCGCTCCGATCTCGCCGGTTGAACTTTGACATCGATGCTGCTACATCCTGCGGGCACATGTCACAGTGAAAGTTCATGCAGGGCAAAGAGAACAACAAAAAAAACAGCATCCCAAGTTGCGCCTCGTCCCGACAGACTGCCACGAGAGCCTCCAGCGCCTGCGGAATCACACCGAGCGCACCACACGTTAATACGAAGATATGCATGATGCTTGCCAGATCGTACTGCGACCAAGCGATTAAGGAAAAGATGAAGCACAACATGGCAGTGACGATTACACGAATAGCTGTTCTCGTATCAGTCGCCGGCTACGACGACGACGACGACGACGAACCGAGAAAACGTGTTTGGATCGCCCACTTCCCAGTGGGGCGCCGCGACCCCACGGGCATTTCGTGGCCTCTTGATCGCATGAACCTGAAAGCTTCGTGGGCGTGGAAAGCGGGGGCACAGCAGGATCATGCCGTGACACGTCGGCCCTGGTCTCTGATACCGCGTGAGCCGTCCAGCGTGTGAGCGATCTCGGCTCTTAGTGGTCCCCTCGGGGCTGTTGACCTAATCCCTCCTATAAATTCCGAGCTGCGAAGGAGAAGGAGACGAAGAGGGGCACTTCACGTTTCACTGCGGCCACGAGTCCCCAAACCTTCAATAAGAATGTGCACAGACGGAGTGTTTATCCTGTCACATCGGGGCTCTTGGTGGAGTACTGTCCTTTTTTGTGTTGAGGTATCTATGTATACAGGTATGTTGATGCTAGCCAGCTTGGACCCCAGACACTAGAAGATTGCACTGTGGATGTGTAAGTTATGTGGAGTGAGCTATGTAGTGCAAGCTATGTGGTGCAAGCGATGTGATGCAAGCTCTGTGATGCAATCGGCGTGGTGCAAGCTATGTGGTGAGAGCTACGTGATGACGTGGCCACAAGGCGGCCATGGGCGGCAACGTAGCGAAACCTCGCTGGACCCACCCAGCGCATAAGGGCGGCCACGAGGCGGTCGCGGGCGTCAGCGTGGCGAAACCTTGCCGACCCCACTAAGCGCACGCATCGGCCACGAAGCCGCCACGGGCGGCAGAACGGCAAAACCTCGCCGGACCCGCCCAGCGCACGACGTGGCCACGAGGCGGCCGCGGGCGGCCACGCGGAAAAACCTCGCCAGACCTTTCAAGACCCTCAATAAAGTAAGGTGGGAGGTTTCTTACTCGGCGTTTCGACTCGGGGGGGTCTGGCTCCAGACCTCTGCTTAGCGCGACTGTTTGCAACAGTGCGCCCTCTGGGGAAGACGCCACCTGCTCGAAGCAGGCGGCAAAAACAGCCAAGATCTACTCCATGAGGGGGGGGAGGGGGTGCGAGAGCCCGCGCCGATCGGCAAAACAGTAAGAAAACGACTACAAGTAAGATTCCCGAAGGTGCGTGCTCGGGGAATGATGCATTCTAGCCGCAAGGACGGTAGGCGAAATTACTGCACAACGGTGTTATCGCCCGAAGGACAACCCCACGTGGCGATCGACTTCCAAGGAGGTGCTTCCAGCAGCGAAGCAACATGGCTGCACTAACTTCTGGGGAAGGTGGCTTACGACCGGGTGGGCGCACTGCCGCACATTCTGCGCATCCTGTGTCTCCTCTGCTGCTCCCTCCTCCCTCCTCCCTCCTCCCTCCTCCCTCCTCCCTCCTCCCTCCTCCTCCTCCCTCCTCCCTCCTCCCTTCTCCCTCCTCCCTCCTCCCTGTTCTGCTCCTCTGCTCCTCTGCTCCTCTGCTCCTCTGCTCCTCTGCTCCTCTGCTCCTCTGCTCCTCTGCTCCTCTGCTCCTCTGCTCCTCTGCTCCTCCGCTCCTCCGCTCCTCTGCTCCTCTGCTCCTCTGCTCCTCTGCTCCTCTGCTCCTCTGCTCCTCTGCTCCTCCGCTCCTCCGCTCCTCCGCTCCTCCGCTCCTCCCTCCTCCGCTCCTCCGCTCCTCCGCTCCTCCCTCCTCCGCTCCTCCGTTCCTCCGCTCCTCCCTCTTCCGTCCGCCCTCCTCCTCCTCCCTCGTTCCTCTCCTCCCTCCTCCTCCTCACTCCTCTCTCCCTCCCTCCTCCCTCCTCCCTACCCTCCTCCCTCTCCTCTCTCCTCCTCCTCCTCCTCCTCCTCCTCCTCCCTCCTCCCTCCTCCTCCTCCTCCTCCTCGCTCTCTCCTCCCCATCCTCCTCCTCGTCCTCCTCCCTCCTCCTCCTCCTCCTCCTCCCTCCTCCTCCTCTCCTCCTCCTCCTCCCCTCCTCGTCCGCCTCGCTCGCTTTCCTACCAACAGGCGGAAGCGCGGGACGGGCCTGCAAATTGGAGTACACCCCGCCGAAGAGCAATAATCGCCCGTCCAAAACGCCTCTCGGGTCTCGAAGGCGGGGGTCTTCATCTGCATTCCGTGTCCTCCCTCTCTTCTGCCCTCCCGCCCGCCATCCCTCCATCCCGCTCCTCCTCTCCATTCCCTCGTCATCAGCAAATTCCTCCGCGCCCCTCCCTCCCGCTCATCCCCTCTCCCCCACCCCCTCGGCCCCTCACCGTACTGGTTGTTCCCCACGTCCAAAGTGGGGTTCTTGTTTTCTCTGGACACCCCGCGCAGGAACTCACCCACCTCCCCACCCACTCACTCACTCACACGCTCAGCATCATCATCACTATTATCATCATCATCGTCATCATCATCATCATCATCATCATCATCATCATCATCATCATCATCATCAGCATCAGCATCAGCATCAGCATCATCATCATCATCAGCCATCATCATCATCATCTCATCATCATCATCATCATCATCATCATCAGCATCATCATCATCATCATCATCATCATCATCATCATCATCATCATCATCGTCGTCGTCGTCGTCATCATCATCATCATCATCCATCATCATCATCATCATCAGCATCAGCATCAGCATCATCAGCATCATCATCATCATCATCAGCATCAGCATCATCAGCATCATCAGCATCGTCAGCATCATCAGCAGCAGCAGCATCATCATCGTTAACATCGTCAGCATCATCATCAGCAGCATCATCATCATTATCATCAGCAGCATCATCAGCATCATTGTCAGCATCACCAGCAGCGTCATCGTCATCATCATCATAATCAGCATCAGCATCAACATTATGAGCATCATCATCATCAGCATCCTCATCAGCAGCATCATCATCATCATCATCAGCATCATCAGTATCATCATCATCATCATCAGCATCATCATCATCATCATCATCACCACCACCACCACCACCATCATCATCATCATCATAATCATCATCATCATCATCAGCATCATCAGCATCATCATCATCATCATCATAATCATCATCGTCATCATCATCAGCATCATCATCATCATCATCGTCATCGTCATCGTCATCTTCAGCTTCATCTTCATCTTCGCTCACGCATTCAATCAGTCACTGACGCGCCCACTCATCTCAGGCGGGAGCCTCGACTGTGAGCGAACTGCTAAGAAATGTCAGGCGAGAGCCCCCTCCTTATGGAGACCGCAGCTCACGTTTGTAACCCGAGCGGGTCATCGGAAACCTGTAATTGTCGCCACTTTGGGGCTCCAGGGGCTTACACATGCGGGAAGTATCAGGCAGGAGCTTCGTCTATGAGTGTATTGCGAGGAAGTCTCAAGCAGGAGCCTCCTCGCCATCGGGGCCCGCAGCTCACGTTTGTAATCCGAACGGGTTATCGGAAACGTGTAACTGTCGTCACTGGGCTCCGCAGGCCTGAATAGACAGGAAGTATCAGGCGGGAGCCTCGTCTGTGAGTGAATTGCGAGGAATTCTCAGGCGGGAGCCCCCTCCCTATGGAGCCCGCAGCTCATGTTTGTAATCCGAGCGGGTTGTCGGAAACGTGTAACTGTCGTCATTTGGGGCCGCCTGAGGCATGAATGTGGAGGAAGTATCAAGCGGGAGCCTCGTCTGTGAGTGAATCTCGTAAAAGTCTCAAGCGGGAGCCCCCTCCCTATGGGGCCCGCAGATCACGTTTGTAATCCGAGCGGGTTGTCGGAAACCTGTAACCGTCGTCAGATTTGGGCCCCCTGAGGCTTGAACATGGAGGAAGTATCAGGCAGGAGCCCTCGTGTATGAATGAACTCCGAAGAAGTCTCAGGCAGGAACCCCCTCCCTGCGGGGCCCGCAGCTCATGTTTGTGATCCGAGCGGGTTGTCGGAAACTTGTAACTGTCGTCACTTTTGGGCTCATGAGACTTGAATATGGAGGAAGTATGAGGCGGTAGACTCGTCTGTGAGCGAACTGCGACGAAGTCTCAAGCGGGAGCCCCCTCCCCATGGGGCCTGCAGCTCACGTTTGTAATCCGAGCGAGTTGTCGGAAACCTGTAACTGTCGTCACTCTTGGGCTCATCAGGCTCGAATATGGAGGAAGTATCAGGCAGGAGCCATTGTCTGTGAATGAATTGCAAGGGGGCTATGGTGGGGGCCGCCCGGGGAGCTATTTAGTTATTGGCCTCGTCGCATTATGCGAGGCGAGAGCCTTTGGCCTCGTCAGGTATGCGAGCTCCTGGCCGCGTACGACTCCTGTATATGGTCAGCCAGCGTCGGCGAGAGCCTCTGGCCTCACCTTGAAGTTTAGCGCTCTCACCTTGAAGTTTAGCGCTCTCACCTTCTGGGGCGCTGGACACCCCCCAAGACGGCCCAAGAAACCCCAAAAGAGCCCCAACACGGCCCAAGAGGGTTCAAAGGTGGCCCAAGAGGCCCCCAAGACAGCTCCCCGACGGCCTAAATGGGCCCCAAGACAGCCCACGGGACCCCGATGACAGCTCTTGGAGGCAGGACGCCCCAGAGAGGCCCCTGAGACGGCATCCGAAGGCGGCAGACGACCCCAAGAGCACCCGAAGATTGCCGAAGACGCCCCCAAGACGCCCCCAAAAGGTTCCCAGAGCCCCCTACGCACATACCCGCATCCTGGACGTGCACCCGGCCAAGCGATACAGAAATCCAAGCGGTCGGGGAACGTGCCCCCCGAGGCACGAGGCCGATGCCCCCCGATTTGCAGCCGGAGCGCGCCGGTTCTGCACGCAGGCGGGACCCGTCCCTAGTCCACAGGCATTGAGACATGCTGCGACTATTCGATCCACGCCCACGTCCGCATCGAATTCCTCCCTCCGCTCCTCGTCCCACCTCCTCTCATCAAGCATGCGCGTGTTGCTGGATCCCTCCCCGTTCGCGCAGCGCGTATACTCGCGAGGTCGACGTGACATTGGCGTGTGCGCACGTCCCTCTCTTGCTCCTGCCACCACTGAACACCCGACAGGAGGACCTCCCCTCCCCAACGCCAATGGGCAAGCGCGTTGCACTACTCGCAAAGCAGCAACTGCTCGCAGATGGCCTGGATCCGCCGCGGGGGATTTACGATACGCTACATCGAGGAAGACCCTTTTGTCTCGGACGTTTGCGAGTAGGCACTTTGCCATTGGTTGACTACCTACCAAATCATCCCAACCCAACCCGAATACACGAATTTGACCCGAATTTCAGGTTCGGGGGGGGGGTACGGGTTCCATGTTTTTTCAATGTTCCCCGCCCCCCCCACTGGAAATGGAGGACAGATTGAGGCCTTCGGGTTGGGTTGGGTTTGTTTGGGGGGTGGTGGGTAGTGGAACGCGCTCGTTGAGCCTAGGCCGGCGACGTGGATGATGCGTCCGTTGGCGACGTCCGCGTGGAGGAAATCAGGCTCCGCATCGGGCCGCACCGGCGATGCATCGGCGACGCGGCGCGATCCTCAACCCCATCTACTCGGACCCCACCTAGGAGGCCTAGAGACCCTGAGATCCGACGTTGCAAAAAAAAATGCAACATCGCAGAAAATCACGTCCAAAGCCCCGGACCGCATCTTTCTGCGTCATTTTCGAGCGCCGGATCGATCCGTGAGGGTCCCGGGGCCCGAAGTGGAGCTAAAACGCCCGTTGCAAAAAAAATTGCAACGCCAGAACCTCAGGGGACTATAGACAGTTTGCCAGCAGTGGAGCGCGCTCGGTGGGCCTAGGTCGGCGACCCCGCCGCCGCCGCGGGCCGCTGGCGCGGCGGCCATTGCCGAGGCGCCGAGCGGGGGCAGGCCGCCGGGGCCCGCCCGCGGCAGCCCGGGCGCCTCGCGGCGCCGCCGCGCGTCGGCGTCGCCCTCGTCGCCCTCGTCGCCGGCGTCGACGTCGGCGTCGGCCTCGTCGACGTCGACCTCGCCCCCCTGGATCGACTACACTGAAGGGGCCCCGGGACACACACATAAATGGACACAAGTAACCGGATTCCCCATATTTTCCCACATTTTCTGGGGTTGTTGTCTTCCCCCCCACTTCCCATATTTTCCCATATTTTCCTGGGAGTCGACGATTAATTGTGTCTGTGTGCTTTTTCCCTCCTGACACACGCAAGAGTGACCCTGGGTAAGAGTGACCCCTGGCGCGCGGCTCTTGGGGGGGCCGCGGCGGAGCCAAACACAGGTGCGCAGGGCGCCACTGCCGCACCGCGCTCGGCGATCGGAGGACCCCACTGGGCCCGCACCCAAGGTCACTCCGGCGAAAGGTCGCACTGACGTGTAGTCGACTGGGGCCAGGGAAAGAATTGCGACGGAAGGCTCTTCGCCATGTCCTCGGCCGCCGGGGGCCCCAATGGAGCCTCGGGACCGTCGAGACAACAGCTCGGAGTGAGCAGCCGGTGAACCGCCCCGCGCTTCCTGCCGCCCGTCTCGGGCACAGCAGGGAGCACTGCTGCAGATGTGCATGCTGCTGCCGGCGGCCGCGTGCTGCCGCGTGCTGCTGCTTGCTGCTGCTTGCTGCTGCGTGCTCGTGCTACCTGCTGCCGCTCGGATGTACATTCGGGCCTTGGTCGGCCGTGTTGGGGCAGTTGAAACGTTGTGGGTGCCACGAAAGCAACTTAAGAGGTACGTGGGGGGGGCCCTTCTCAGCTGGCCAACATGCCAAAAAGTTAGCACATGGAAGATCAGCCATTAGCACATGGAAAATCAGCCAGCAAGCCAACCAGCCAACGGACCAACCAGTCAGCTAGCCAAGCAGCCAGCGAGTCAACTAGCCAACCTGCCAACCAAGGAGCCAGCCAAACAGCCAGCCAACCCGCCAGCCGGCAAGGGGGGCAGAGGGCAGAGTGCGAAGCCTGGCAACCCCCCTGAGTGCGCTTGGAAAAGCGCTGGAGGCAATTTCCCGAAAAAGCAGTTGCACTTGCAGGTTCTTGCTCGCTTTGCAAGGTGGAGGAGGAGGAGGAGGAGGAGGAGGAGGAGGATCAGGAGGAGGAGGAGAAAGGGGAGGAGAAGGAAGAGGGAAAGGAGGAGGATGAGGAGGGGGAGGAGGAGGAGTAGGAGTAGGAGGAGGAGGAGGAGGAGGAGGAAGAGGAGGAGGCTGGACGCGAACTCCGGATGTCCGACTCGCTGCCGCCCAGTCCCCGCCCGCTGCCTCCCCGTTGCCGCCCCCGTGCCGCACCGCTGCAGCACCACTGCCGCCCGGTCGCCGCCCAGTTGCCGCCCCGCTGCCGCGTCACTGCCGCCCTGCTTCTGTGAACTGATTTGCTTTCGTCGCGGCGTGGAACCCAAAGGTCGCATCGGGGCGAATCAGAATTGGCATGGCGGAAGCAGGCCGAAGGGCCTGCGCAGCCACCTGTGAGATGAATACGCCCATCAACTCGCCAGTGAGCGCGGCGGGAAGGCCGGACCGCGGCCGAGCGGCGAAGGGAAGCCCTGGCGGTCCCCACGGTCCTGCGTCGCTCGACGGATGAGCGGGCGCAGCACGGTCACGCCAGGCTTGCCTCTGCGACTGAGAGCACACGGGTTTTGCGCGCCTTGTCCGCGGGCACGTCGTCCACGAGGGACAGGTGCTTGGCACACGCCTCTGGAGGAACGACCACATCCCCGTGGTCGTCGTCTCCCAGAAGACCTCCGACAGCAAACCCTGCTCGCCCCAAATGCTTCACGTACACATTCAAATAGCGGATGCCATCATCCGTATGCCCATGCACGACTTTCAGCTCAACTTTACCCAGAGCAACCCATTCGGGAGACTTGACCTCATGCTGCGACACGCTGTAGTGATACCCTCCAGCTTGTTTCGCATCTGCCCACGACCCCGTAATGTTCAACTCCTGGAAGTACATATCCGCGCAATGTCCTCCCAGTCGGCGCGCATCGGCCTGGACGCGAAGCAATGCGTTTTCAGCACTCATTCCACGAGGGATGTTGATCAGAACATGGTTGCCCGCCTTCATCAAATCGAAGCGGTCACCATGAATGTTCTGAAGATGGGGATCACCAGTGGCAGCAGCCCCGCCAGGAGCAGGGCCCGATCCTGCAAAAAGCCATGCTTGGTGTTGGAAGCTCTGCACCCCAGACGACCCGGCGCCATGTATGAAGTACTCACCGAAAGGGGGGTTAACATTGTTGGGCCAGTTCTGCGTCTTCAGCCCGATCCCTACAGGAGAGTTGGCATCGCTGCCGTCAGAGGACTGGCAACTCTGGTCAGGAAGGTTCACGCAGTACCCGATGCGAGCCCAGTTGTTATCACTGCACTGGGTGTTGATTCCGGGTCGCTGCATATCGCAATTGCCACCTCCGTTCCCATTCCAGAAGTCGTCGTACCAGGTGGCCGTTCCTGGCGGCAAAAACAAATCTGTCCAGGCCTTCTTTTTGAGGCTGCGGATGAAGCCCGAGCTGAAGAGCGATTGTGCGCTGGCGTACGTCGCGCCCAGCTCGTACGTGTAGCAGTTGTCCAACTTCTTGTAGCACAACGTGAGGGCAGAGATCGAAAATGTGTTGAACGCCGACGTCTTGACGTCCTCGTCGTCAGAGTCGCTGCTGGAAGCACCGCTGGCTTCGTTCAACACCGAACTGCCATCTGTCCAATAACTGGAGTCGTACTGGAAAGTGCTGGAGCCCGCCTTCAGCTTCATCAACAACGTCGCGCCGGACGTCGGGCTTGGCGTCGGGCTGGGCGTCGGGCTGGGCGTCGGGCTGGGCGTCGGGCTGGGAGTCGGGCTGGGCGTCGGTGACGGGGTTGCCGGCGTTCCTGGCGTGGGTGCCAAGGCCACCAGGTTGACAGTGGCTGGGGTCGCAGGAATTCCAGTGACATAGCCAGTGTGCTGCGAAGCCGTCAGGAGAGCCCACCTCTGTGAATCGGTCATGGATCCCGCCGTTGCGTTGTCCTCGTACATGATGGCCGCAAGCCCAGAGACGTGCGGACAGGCCATGGAAGTGCCCGAAGACCAACCCGTTGCGGTGTTGCTGCCGATGTACGTCGATTTGACGGACGTGCCTGGAGCCCAGACATCGATGCAGGAGCCGTAGTTGCTGAAGGACGACTTGGCCCCTGCTGAATCATAAGATACCACCGTGATCGCCGACGGGATCCAGGCCGGATTATAGTTGCACGCGTCATCGTTTTGGTTCCCTGCAGCAACCACCATGGTCACGCCATCAGCCACCAACGCGTTGATCGAGGTCTGCTCCGATTCGACCGCGCCGGGGTCCCCAAGACTCATGCTGACCACTGCTGGCCTTAAACCATACGTCAAAACATGCTGTTCGGCAACAATCGACCAAAATGTAAAGCCTGCGGCGTTGTCGTCGAGAACCTTCATTGCCCACAAGGTCGCGCCATTCGCGACGCCATATGTCGAGGAACCCAACGTGCCCGCGCAATGGGTGCCGTGCCCATTGAAGTCTGCAGCACACGTCGTGCTGCTAGGCGTGCACAGTGTGTAGGTCCCCGTGGAAGCCATGTCCAACCCAGCGAATGCCCGGCCGCCAAACTCGACGTGCGTTGTAAGAATGCCAGTGTCCAGCACATACACGTTCACCCCCGCGCCCCGCCCCCGGACCACGTCCGCATCGATGTCTTGGATGCCCCACGGGTAAGTACGCCGAGTGGCTCCGTCTGGAACGATATGCTCCAGGGCCCTTTTGACGAACGGGTCCTCTTCGCTAGGGGGTTCGAACATCCCCGCCATCACTAACGAGAGCTAGGCAAAAACTAAAAACAATATATAAGTATATCGCTCTCTGTCTCTCTCTCTCTCTCTCTCTCTCTCTCTCTCTATATATATAAAAATATGGATTCCAAGACCTTCCCACCCTCCTCCTGTTCCTCATCCATGCTGGTCGCAGTCCATGAGCGATCTACGCTATGGTAGTGCTAGTCAAATACAGTTACGAAATAAACACTGATACAAAGCTAGCAATACAAAGCTATGCACATCCATATTGATTGCGGTCACAAGTTGAATGTGCTTCTAAAGAATCCACCACCATGCCTGGAGAGTGTTTTTATCGGCAATAACCTGGGTTATCCTGGGGGTGGTATGGACCGGCCGATAACCTAACCTTCGCGCTGTGGGCAGCCCTGCATATGCCCGCGCGCCCTGGTGCTGCGACCCCTCCAACTGCTAACGATGCTGCGACGATGCTGCTATTGATGCTGCGACGATGCGGACGCCGTCTGAGAATGCCTCAGGATATGTCTGGACAGCTAGCATTGGGATACGCGGGATGGAATTGCTGAGAGTAGCCCAAGAATCCGCCGACCCCTTGGGGATCATCGGCGTGTGAGATGCTTCCCCCTCCCCAAACCCCTCCCCCGGGAGCCCGGTCCGGTCGATTTGGAGGGGGGGGGGGGGTCCGGGACGAGCGCTCCGGAGGGGGGGGGGGGTCCGGGACGAGCGCTCCACGGGGCTTTTCCTGGCCCAAGAGGGCTTCAAGACGGGCCACGAAGCCCCCAAGAGGCCTCCAAGACGGCCCACGAAGGCGCCGAGAAGCCAAACGACCGCTCCAAGACGCCCACGATGGCCCCAAGACGGGCCAAGAGGTCTCCAAGACGGCCCCTGAGGTCCCAAATGAGCCTCCCAAGAGGGACCAAAGAGTCAAAAATTGCTGATTTTCCAGAAAAAGATGAATATAAAGTACGAGGAAAAAAAAAGAAAAGAAAAAAGAAAAAAAGTGTTTTTTTCGATGTTTTGGGGGGCGGTTCTTCCGCTTTTTTTTTTTTTTTTTTTTTTTTTTTTTTTTTTTTTTTTTTTTTTTGTTTTTTTTTTTTTTTTTTCTTTCCGGCTTCTCGACGCTCCAAGACGGGCTAAGAGGCCCCAAAGATAGCCCAAAGATGGCCCAAGAGGCCCCCAAGACGGCCTCCAGACGGCCCAGGACGGCCCCAAGACGGCCCAAGAGGTCCTCAAAACGGCCCA